CTATAGAAGATATTCAGTTTTTTCTTCTGGAGAATTATTATGGATATTTCAGACTCTTTGTTTTTCACATAAAATTTAGAAACAGCTTATCGATTTCTACAAAAATTCCACTGGAATTTTTTTCTATTGGGAGTATGCTTGATCAATCGGTCAATATATGGAGAATTGATAACAGTAGTAAATCTCCTGACCCAGAAGTATGGCATATCCCTCCATTTGTTTAGGTCTTATTTATTTTGGCAGTGTTTTGTAGCTTTTAGTGTACAGGTCTTACGCATATTTTGTTAAATATTTCCCTAGGTATCTAATATTTCTGATGCTGTTATAATTGATATTTTTAACATTTTTTGATTGCAATTGTTTGTTGCTACTGGATAGAAATAGAATTGATTGTGTATTTTGATCTGTTATCCTGTGACTTGGAGAAACTCACTTATTATAGTAGTATGTTTGTAGAGTCCTAAAAATGTTCTATATGGGCCCTCATATATCATGTACAAATTAAGACAGTTTTATGTTTTCCTTTTGAATCTCTGTGCCTTTTATCTCTTTCTTATGCTTTCTTGTATGACCCATGCATGAATGACAGCCAATTTCAACTTTCTATACAGTATAGGAGCAGTTAGAAGGGCCAGGCCTTGACCTTGCATGGGGCTTCCCATCCTAATTATTGTCTATTGCTCTGTTCTAAACTAACAGACAATGCAGGGAAGACATAAAGGACTTACCTCCTAGGGGCATTATATTTGCCTTCTTTGGGTTGGTTGCTTCATCAGGTTTGAGAACTCAGATGGGCTGTAGATCAGGCTGGATTACCTGCTGACCCAGCCCCTGTCTTCCTCCTGCAGTGGCTGTGGGGGTACCCTTGTAAGCTGGGGAGCAGAGGGACAGGTGAAGGCCGGAAAAACTGGCCTGCCACACAGCAGCACGTTGACCAGTGCTTTATATATTTTTTTCTTTTCAAATTGCATGCCATGACTTGATCAAGCATTTTGAGTGCAGTAGCTTATTAAATCAGCATCATCATCGAATTTTATGGATAAGGGGCTAAGACCTAGAAGAGTCAGGTGACATAAGTAAGGCCACACAGCTAGCAAGTACTGTGATGAGTGTCACATTCTGGTCTCTCATTCTCACCATGCTGAGTGGCCTGGACACCTCTGACCCCCATCCCTCTGCCTCTTTCAGATAACGGGCAGCCCGGACCCATCTGTGAGGATTCCCCACACAGACTGACACCTCTGGAAGAAAGACAGTGGGGCAGCAGTAGAGCAAATGGGGCCAGCTAGGGTTTTTATGGACCATCAGGCAGCAGCAGCTCTGTTTAGTTTGATGGGCAAGTCTTTTTAGACAGAGCAGGACTCTCACACTGAACCAAGTTGCTTTTGGACACATTATTCCTTGTTCTGGAATTGCATTTGGACAAGCCAACCTTTTCTTCTTTTTCAGGTTGATGTTCTGTTCATCTTTGAACAGTTATCGATGTTCCTTATGTTCAATTGTTTCTGCTCTATTTAATTTTCTCATTGCCACTGGTCCACCAAGGGATGGCAATGGAGGTCAGTGGTAGCTTTTTCATCTAAGATGTACAGTGAAGGCTTGTCGGTCGGGCTTTTCATTATGGCCTGTCCTCCCACTGTTCATCGTTTCTGTTTGCTCATCTGCAGATTTTGGAGAGTCCTGGGTCCGACCCACCTGCTTATCCTGCTGCAGCATATGTCTGTGTGAGAGGGAGACGGGTTAGATCATAGAAGGCTGGTACTAGAATGGCCTTTGCAGCTTGTTCTAGAGGCAGTTGGCCTCATTTTACAGGGGAGAAAGTGGAGGCCACTCAGTATACTGAGGATGAAACCAGGCTTTCTAGTGCCCAGGCCAGATCTTCCCTGATCTCCATGTTGCTTTCTTGGTGGGTAGACCCTGTAACCGCTTTCTCTAGTCTGTGTGAGAAGGCAGCTGCTTCTCATTTTAGCTGGAAAAAACCTGTTCCTTTTCACCCCTGATGTGGGTAAATTTTCCCACATCTAATTAAGGAAGCTGGAAAGAGGAAGTGAGTTAATGATCCTTAGTGGCAAGACACTAGAAATCGTCCTTCTTGGGAGAGTCTCTGAAACACCATGCTCTCTGGGGTTGTTGGCCTGGCCGGAGTTAAACCTTCTCTTGGCCTTTCCCCAGGAGGCTGGTCCAAGGAGGCCCAGATGCGTTTGTTTACAGTTGTCTCTGGGTGATGCTTGCCAGGCTCTGTGTTTGGAAGGAACGCCCCCATTCCCTTATTTACATCTCGCCTTGGAGTTCTCGGGAGACACACCAAGTACTAATTATTGCAAATACCTGGAAACCTGGGAGGGGAGCAGAACTGTACAGGGCCAGTATCGAAATGGAAAAGTAGGAGATTTGGTGAAATTGTGGGGTTGGGAGGGCTTGCCCAAATTTACTTGTTATTTATACTCTCTATTAAGAAAATTTAGTGTCCATGGAGAAGTCACTTAAAGTCTGTGAGTCCCAGTTTTCCCAAATATAATATGGGAATGAAACCTGATTTTCTTATTTTACAGGATGGTAAAAAAATTAATAAATAAAAAAATGTGAAAGGATTTTGAAGCAAAAATAATAAAGTGATGCTATCATAAATATACTCAATCAGTTTTTTTCCCTCGTTGCACATCTTTTTCTGTGCCTTAGAAAATCATGCTATCCAAAAAGAGCTGAGATTCCAGCCTTTAAATAAAGCTGCTCAGAGCTCAGGAGCCAGAGCAGAGAGGGGCCCTTTGTTCATAGATGCCCTCTCATTTCTGGGAAGGAAAGCTTGGGAGAGGCAGGGGTCCTCCAGATGTCCCTATGCCTCGTGGTATTGAGTTGGGTTACTACAGTCTCTGGTGGCACAGTGAGGCAGGGACTGAGGGACCAATCTACAGATACTCCAGTGCCACTGGGAGAGCCCGTGGGTGCAGCTGTGCTGGATCACAAGCGAGCTGGGAAGTCTCATAGCTTTTACTCACAGCCTAAGCCTGGGGAATGGCTGCTTCCTTAGTGGTGAGAGGTGTGTGTATGTGTGTGTGTGTGTATTTGTGAGTTTATGTGTGTGAGTGTGTATGTGTGTTAGTGTGTATATGTGCACATCTATGAGTATGTATGTGTGTGGAAGTATGTGTTTGTGAGTGGGTACTTATGTGAGAGTCCATGTGTGAGTGTGTGGGTATGCTTTTGTGTGTATGTGTGTTCATGCTCATGAGTGTGAGAGAATATGATTGTGTATGCATGGTGGGTAGGTGCATGTGTTTGTGTGGATGCACATCTCTGCATGTGTGTGTGTGTGTGTGTGTGTGTGTGTGTGTGTGTGTTAATGTATGCGTGTGGATTGGAAGCAGGCACACAGGCCCTTTGGTAAATGAGACACAAAATACACACCTACAAAATGCAAGACATAAAGTACAACCCTCAATTTTTATGTTATTAAAGCAATAGGCATAAGATTACAGTGTGAAATTGCTATGAAAGTTTCCAAATGCTTCCTGTCGATTTGTAGCGAGCAGTTGGCAGAGCACCCTGGTTCCTGGAGCCCATTTGTCCTGCGCTGAGCCAGCCTGAGGGGGAGGGAAGGGGTGTGTAGCTCTTAGCTGCATACCAGCCTGGAACCCTCTAGCCTGCTTTAGCAGAGACTGGTGAGAGGTGGCAGCAGGTGGCATGGATATGGGGCTGCAGTAGCCAGCTCAGGCTTCACTCTCAGGGTCACGCTGCCTCTGCCACCCCCCGTGCCACCAAAGTGGGGAGCCTGGGACCCGGAGTCTCCAGCAACCCATTTCCGAATTAGACGCCTCGGGCTTGTGCATCAGGTTAGCGGAAACTCACTTTTTGCCTTGCTGGGTGAGAGTGCCCCCAAGGGGATGTGTCATGGCTTGGTCTGAAAGTAGCTTTGAAAAGACTCACCACATGGGAGGCCACTCATTCTAGGGTACAGTCAAACATTCCCTTGATGACAGGGACATATTCTGAGAAATGCATCCTGGGGTGATTTCATTGTTGTGTAAACATCATAAAGTAAACTTACGGAAACCTAGGTGGTGTAGCCTACTATATACATCTAGGCCACATGATATAGCCTATTGCTCCTAGGCTGTAACCTGTACAGCAGGTGACTATGCTGAATACTGTAGGCAACCGTAACCGCATGTAACACCATGGTGAGTATTTGTGTGTCTAAACATCTCTAAACATAGATCAGGTGCAGTAAAAATAATGATATTGTGGTCCGTCGTTGACTGAAACGTCGTCGGGCAGCCCATGATTGTAGATATTTCAGCAGAGCATTACGATCGTTTGATTCTTCCCTTTTTTCCTGCCAAGAGTATCAAGGCATCTCTTGTGTCTTTTGGCCTAGGATCTCTCAGGCAGAGTTGATGTGAATGGTTAAGGCATGTGAACTGCTCTGGGGACAGTTTTCTGTGGTGGCCTCTGCTTGACTTGTGTTAGCCAGAAGGACAGGAGTTACACCTTTGCTTTATGTTTTTCATGATAGTCTCAAATCTACACGTCTAATGGGCCTCTCAAAAGCAATGTCAGCCCTCTCCATCCTGGTGATCCTGGCATTGTGCTCAGGAGTGTTGCTTCTTAGTGGTCCTAGTAGCTGGGGAAGGGACGCAGGCAGAGGATGAAGTCATGTTAAAGGGACCTTTGGGTGACCAGCTTTTTGGAAAGGCTGGTGGGAGGTTGAGGCATTTACTGATGCCTCTGGCTCAACGTTTTTGTGGTGAAACTATTGAGAGGAAAGAGCTTGAGCTAAGAGGTTGCCGTAAATAGATTTTGCTGCCTTACCTGAGTGGTAGCTTCTTCGAGAGCTGGAAGGACTTCTGCAGCTGATGGAGAGGTGGTGGAATTGTGCTCACCCCTCCTTCAGAATTCCAAAGACTGAGCGTGTATTTAGGCTCCCTCTGGTCCATATCTTCCCCCAGGTGAACACAGCATAAAGTCCATTATTGTTAACTATCTTTTCTTTGCTTTTGTTTTCAGGGCAGGAAGATCCCAACAGTTTGCGCCATAAATATAACTTTATTGCTGACGTGGTGGAGAAGATTGCTCCTGCGGTGGTCCATATTGAATTGTTTCGCAAGTAAAGAGAACCTTGTTTTTCTATAACCTCTGAAACTTTCGCCAATAAATGCCGCCATGAGCAACACATCAGAGCTATTTTTGAGAAACATTAAAGTGTCCAAGTGTCACTGAATATATTCCTATATTAAGATAAGTGTTTCTCCCTAGAATATTTTCCCATTTGGCTATAGAAATCTACATTCTATTTTTTTTTTTTTTTTTTTTTTGAGTGGAAGTCTCACTCTGTCACCCAGACTGGAGTGCAGTGGCCGCTTCCGGCCACCGCAGCCTCGACCTGCTGGGCTCTGGCGATCCTTCCGCCTCAGCCTTCCAAGTAGCCGGAATTACAGGCATGCGCTACCACGCCCGGCTGATTTTTTGATTTATTGTAGAGATGAGGTCTCGCTGCCCAGGCGGGTCTCGAACCCGCGGGCTCAGGCAATCCACTCACCTCAGCCTCCCAAAGGCGCGGGATTACAGGCTGAGCCACCGAGCCCGGCTACATTCTATTTTTAAAAAAAATTTAAATTTTATTTTAAGGATGTAGGGTACAATTCAGGATTAGGTATACAAGTGGTCATCGTACAGGTAACGTTTGGGCCTCCCTTTTGCCTGGTTCAATTACCCTTTTTGACACTGTATCCCCTCCAGCCCTACTCTGGCAGTATCCCGCTACTGTCAATCCCTTTCTTATAGCATTGTTACATTCTATTTTTTGTTTTGTGCTTTGGGAAATGGTTTTTGGTTACATGGATGCATTGTGTAGTGCACTGTATACCTTTCACCCCCGCTAGTGCACGTTGTACCCTATAGGTGGTTTTTCATCCCTCCCCCCTTCCGGCTCTCCCCCTTCTGAGTCTCCAGTGTCTGGTATACCATTCTATCTGCCTTTGCAAACCCTTAGCTTAGCTCCCACTTATAAGTGAGAATGTGCAGTATTTGGTTTTCCCTTCCTGCATTATTTCACTTAGGATGATGGTCTCCAATTCTGTCCTAGTTGCTGCAAAGAACATTTGAAATCTACATTCTTGGTCCTTCTAGATGTTTTAAGAACCTCTAGTTCTGAAGCGATTCCCTAAGAATATTTTCTAAGTGGAATTTTTTTTTTTTTTGAGTTGGAGTCTCACTCTGTCGCCCAGACTGGAGTGCGGTGGCTGCTCCCGGCCACCGCAGCCTTGACCTGCTGGGCTCCAGCGATCCTTCCGCCTCAGCCTTCCAAGTAGCTGAATTACAGGCATGTGCTACCACGCCTGGCTGATTTTTGATTTATTGTAGAGATGAGGTCTCGCTGCCCAGGAAGGTCTTGAACCCGCGGTATCAGGCAATCCACTCACCTCAGCCTCCCAAAGGCGCGGGATTACAGGCTGAGCCACCGAGCCCGGCTAAGTGAATTTTTTGATGCATGCAAAATGTGGCATGATGTTTAGATTTTTTAATGTTAAAGCCAACATGTAAAGTAACTATTGCTAGGTGTGTGTTGCTGCTGTAGAACCAGTTTCTCAATGTGTTGAAGCGTCTGTCTGAAGGTGTTTCAGGCTTAAATGTATCCTTTGGGCTCCAGGCTTCCTTTTTCTAAACGAGAAGTGCCAGTGGCTAGCGGCTCTGGGTTTATTGTGTCAGAAGATGGACTGATTGTGACAAATGCCCATGTGGTAACCAACAAGCATCGGGTCAAAGTCGAGCTGAAGAATGGTGCCACTTACGAAGCTAAAATCAAGGATGTGGATGAGAAAGCAGACATTGCACTAATCAAAATTGACCACCAGGTGAGTGATCTTCTAGGCCAGCTGAGTGTGTTCTTGCCTGCAAAGCAGAGTTCTCAGATGCCCTAGACAAAAACTTGGCAAAGGCTTCAGAGCCCTTTGATTTCATGAGATACTCAGGGAGCATGAAAGCCAGTCTGAACCAGTCGAAGGAGGACCCTGAGGAGATGCTGAGTGCGGCCTGGCATTAGGGGAGGGGAAAGGGCTCAGGGATGTTTCTGTAAGAAGCTGGCTGTCAGATTAGAGTTTTTAAAGTAGTGTTTTAAATGTTTATAAAAGGAAGCAAAATGTTTGTAAAGAAATTAGTAAGTCAGTAATGAAAATTGAGTCTCTCTCTCATTCCTGATCCTGAGACAATGGTTGTTATAGATTCTTATTCATCCTTCACAGGTATGCCAGGTGTTCACAATATATATAGAATTTAGTGAATTTTAGAACGAACCATCCTTAACATGTAAACACTGGCTTTGAAAACAAAACTGATCTCCCAAATCGGGGTTTTGCAGGGCTACCAGATGTGTTTTTAAAAATGTTCCATACTTAACAAGTTTTGCAAACCTTGAATTAAAACAGACTGGATGGATTTCTTCTTTACAGAATTTCTCAGAGCCTTTAATATGCTAATATGCACGTGGCTCTCCTATAAAAGGGTGTCAACTCTGCACTATTTGCCCAAATTATAATGACCTGAGTTATACAAATGTTGGGGCATATGGGAGGGGCAGAACTGAGACAAAGCACAGTTTGGGAGATGCTGTAGTTATTTGAAAATGCTTTCTATTTAAATATCCTCTTTGCAATCATTTTGCTCTGTTCATTTGCTTAGAAAAGTCTTCATGCCGAGAACGAAATTCAGTTTTTATTGGCTCATCTAAAATACTCACTTGTTGGTATGTAGTTATGGAGGTTTTGTTTGCTGTGTGGCATGTGCAACGAAATTGTGTTTTCTAGTTTCTTCACATCTTATTATTTTCTAGACTTCAGATGTAGGGAAGAATCAGGGTAGGTTGGCATCCTGTCGCTGGCCACAGAAAAGACCAGAGACTGAGTCAGGAGGGGTCTTCTTGTCCAGCTCTCCGTTTCCATCACTTTACTTGGGTGTGGGCTGTGAGGTTATACAAGTGAGGAATTACACGGGCTGTTTGTGCTGTTCAAGGGACACACAAGGCACATTTCCTTCTGGAAATACCGAACGTGTGTTGTTTGAGCAATAGGTTTCTGTATTTTCTTCTTTAAAAATTTTTTTTTCAAATAGCACTAAGTTGCTACCCAGGCCAGCCTTCCTCACAGCCAGTCTTTCAGAAAACCTCTGGCTAACACACTTTGCTCCGTGAAGTTCCCGTACCCTCTCTGTGGCTGTGTAACCAGGCACAGCTGAAAAGGCTTCGGGTAGAAGCAGGCTCTGTGCCTGGTGTGTGTAACTGGCCGTGAGGTTGCAGTTGTGTGTTGTTTCTATTAGGTCACTGTGGAATTTCTAGCAACAAGGAACCTTTCACAATGTTGTTTGTTGATCACAAGATCTTAGATCCAGGCTCTGTCTTCATCTAATCACCTAATCTTCAAGATAGCTGCAATGTCCTCATTTTATATAGAGGAAGAAACAGGAGCTCACAGAACTCTGGCAACCTGTCCGAGGCCACACGGTGACACCTTATTACTCTGGTCTCCTAAGCCAGGAAAGCTACTGCTCTCCAAGTGCCCAAACCTGTGACCATCACTGGAGGGGTGGAGGCTGGTCTTGTGGTATGGTGGGATAGCTTGACCTTAAACAGCCCGTGGCGAAGGCGGGCTCATCCCTGTTTAGGAACATACTGCGAGAAAGGTGTCCAGGATGTGGTAGTCTCACCGGAAGAAGGCTGGCCAGAATAGCACAGCCTGTGGCCACACGTGGGGCCATGGAGCCCCGGAAGGCAGCCAGCAGCGGGGGCGTGGGCTGTGTGCAGGCAGGGCGCTGGCCTGGATGCTGCCCCCACTGAGTAATTTTATGTTTGGAATGTGTGGGCGCATACCGTGCGTCTGCTTCTGGACGGGGGATATTCTTTCTCGATTTTGAGCCAAGGTGGAGACTGTCTCCTCGTGTCATCCCTGGCATGTCCAGGCAAGATGAGAAAGATCTCAATAGACAGGCTTTGCTGAGTGTTTCTGACCTGGCTTGCTGTCCCTGGGAGTCTAGCTAGTCCAGCCAGCAGCGTGCTGTTTAACATGTGTTTCAAACCAAAAAAAGGGTGCTTGGAAATTTAAAATTGAACTGATGTGGCTTTTCAAAATGGAATAGGAAATGAAAGGATATTAAATTGCAGACACCCACACAAAAGACTGGTTTCCACTGAGTAAACTGATTTTTTTTTTTTTTTTTGCTGATAGTAGTTGGAAGTAGGGAGAGCAAAAGCATCTCTTCCAGCTCTTTCTCTTTTGTTCCTTTGATATGATGACAGGTTATCTGGGGGGAGACTCTGTCTTGTAATGAGGCTCAGTTTGGAAGGAGGTTGCCACCCAGGACGAATGGAAGCACTAATTCACCCCACAGTGCATGATTTAATAAACATGTGCTAGGTAGTGACTGGGGTATGAGCTTGCCTTGTCATCTTAGGGACAAGCAAAAGGAATAAACAGATTGGAAAAACCCAGAGAAGGCAGAACAGAACCAACCAAAGCTGGGCTTGAGAAACAAAAATTATGCTACATGACGTCTTGTCATGGGAGACTCTGGCCCAGCCTCCCCAGGGCCACTTAAGAATAATGTGATGAAACGGGTGAGATTGCCCACTGGTCCATGGGCCAAGGGACTAACTTGGTGGCTCATAATCTGGACCTAGTTTCCCTCCAGCATCATGATTTTGCATCATGATTTCATGGAGGGTTCTCCATGACTAACACTGCTGTTGTCTTTCTAGAACATGGTATTCTCGACACTTTCAATGAAATAGAAGTTACTGCAGATGTCTGTTGTCATTGTCCACTTGACATCCAACTACCCACTTTTCCGGAAGCAGCAGCCAGCATTTCCTTTGGGGATCTGCTTTTCCCCCATTGGTGGGGCCACTGGCAGAGGAGTGAACACAAGTCCCAGTTAGGGCAAGCAGAGGCTCCCCTTGGAATTGCACACTGCAGCTGGATGTCACCCACAGAAAGACTACTGTGGGTGAAGCTGCTGCGGCCCTACTGTGGAGGCCCCAGCATCGCCTGAGTTCTCGCACTTTCCAAGCCCAGTCTATCTGCTGATTCTTGGAGCTCCCCTCATATCTCCAGTGGCCTGAAGTTGCCAGAGATGTTTCTGGGCTTGTGACCAATGGACTCTTTTGCTTCTCACTGCTGAGCAGACACATGTGCACTTACTTTGCTGAGTTTTGAGACCTGAACGAGCTTTTGGGAGAAGGCTCAGGGAGAAGCCTCCCTGCTCTGTTGATGGAGAGAGGTTGTCCCCGTGCAGGCCTGTGTCCCCCAACCTAACCAGACATTCCCTTCTGTGCTTCTGTCCAAATCTGAAACCCCCCTTTCCTTTGGGACCCACAACGGGGACCAGCCTGGGTCTGGGGAGGGAATGCCAGCTGCAGAAAGTTGGGACAGTGTACATGTAAACATGTTAATAGAAAGCAGCTTTGAGGGCAAACTAGTTCAGCTTCAGATACAAACTGTTTCCAAATGTGTTTAACACAAACTGGTGGCTGTGTGCAGGATATTTTAAACTTTTATCCAACTGCAGCATTTTGCCCATGCAGTTTGTTCCTGAGCGATTTGGGGTGGGTGGGGCAGAGGAAAGAGAAAAGCAAAAAGAGAACCTGGGCAACCCCTTTGGGTCGCCTCCCACTGGGAGCTTTTCTGTCCTCTCAATAAATCCTACTTTCTCAATTAAAAAAAAAAAGAGAGAGAGAGAACTATTTGTTTTCTCTAGGCCTGAGTACAGGGTAGAAATACTGGGATGTAGTGAAGAAGGTGGGAGGGGAAAGCAACTTTTTTCCCAGCTGTTTTTCCAGCTGTGCTGTTTAGGAAACTTGAAGAAAAGCATCTTTCAGATCGTGTCCCTGCCATCTTCTAGAGAGCCCTTTATAGATTTCCCACTGTTCTTTTTTTTTTTTTTAAGTTGGAGTTTCACTCTGTCGCCCAGACTGGAGTGCAGTGGCCGCTCCCGGCCACCGCAGCCTCGACCTGCTGGGCTCCGGCGATCCTTCCGCCTCAGCCTTCGAGTAGCAGGAACTACAGGCGCGCGCTACCATGCCTGGCTGATTTTTGATTTATTGTAGAGATGAGGTCTCGCTGCCCAGGCGGGTCTTGAACCCGCGGGCTCAGGCAATCCATTCACCTCAGCCTCCCAAAGGCGCGGGATTACAGCCTGAGCCACTGAGCCCGGCTAGATTTCCTACTGTTCTTATACAGAGGTCTTAACTCCTTAACAGGCCTTGAAGGCCTGCCCTGATTGGGTGCCCCACTCCCTCCACACCTGCCCCCCTCCCTCTGCCCCTCACCCACACTGTTCCGTCACCCCTCCTCTGGCCTCCCGCAAGCTGGGGCTGTTCCCTGGGGCCTTGGCCATTCCCTTCCCTGGGGTGTCTTTCTCCAGCTCCCCACACAGCTGACCTTCCTGTCCTTCAAGACGCCCAGGACATTCTGTCTCAGAACCCCTCCCTGACACGCTACACGAGACAGCGCCCCGTGCCTCAATTCCCTCATCCCTGCCCTCTCACTCTGGGGACACGTAACCCCAGAGGTGACTGCATGTCACACTTTTCCCCTCTCCTCATCTCTTTATCACAACTTATACTGTCTTAGTCATTTGCATGCATACTGAGAGGGGCACATCTGGCTCTTTCGATTGTCAGGTAGGAGGTACTCGGTGACCATGTCCCGAGTGGGACTTGCAGAGCCGTCTGCTCCAAAGGAAGCAAGACCACTGCTGCTGGGATGGGACAGTGGGAAGGCACCAGGGGTTCATGCCATGGAGCTTCTTTCCATTTTCAGATGAGGAGATAATCATACAGCAGGCTGGTTGCAGATGCCCCCTGCCT